GCCTATGATCTTAAGTGCCCTTTTTCTTAAGACGTTTCCACTTGTGGAGGTCCCTCCTGCTAATGCAGCTGTGTTGTGTGTCATGTACCTCCACATCCTGACTGAAGTCCAGCGCATCCTCTCCTGCTCCAAGTAATGTGTGCAGAACTCTCTGCTTCACCTGCTCCCACTGAACCAGCATGGACTCACGATGGTACTCCTCAGCCAACAGGAACGTCTGAAACATGTAAAGGTGGGAAACAGGTACTGAGTCATGCACAATGCGTTACAGTAGTCAAGTTAGGACATTCTTACATTTTGTGTTTGCATATAGCACACTATTCACAACATAATGGTACTTTCAATCAACTGATTATGGAGATAATTTTGAAGCAGAAGGTTTGACTCAATGTGTGTGTGTGTGTGTGTGAGAGACATATTAGATTATAGCAACTAATTTGGACAAGAAGAAATCACTTCAGTTACTAGACAACCTAGGGATCACACATAGAAACATACATCAACATTATGTAAATTGGGCCTACCTATGACACACACACATATTTAGCAGCACACCCCAGTCAAGACTGTACTACTCCACCAGGACACTGCAGTCTATTTTAACTCTCCACAGAGACTGAAAGTGAGATAATGGGAACGTGATATAATTGAATCCCCAGCTCAGGGAGATACAAATCTAGACTAAAGCCACCATTCAACTTGGTCACTGCTTGAATATATGTTACAATTTCTGAGTTGCAAAGCTGCAGTATATATATTTAAAAAATGATGCAATCAGCAATTTACCAAAGGTTTTGTCCATTACATCCATGTCCAGAGACCCATTATGATTATTTTTTCTCCTGTAAATTGTCCTTGTCAGTGCATATAGTATGTATTGCAGTCACATTTCTTTAACAAATGAGATTAAAGAATTATTCTAACATGTTTGAATGTTACGGTCTATGAAAAATAAATAAAAGTATATCAACTTATCAGATTTCTCTCAGGTATTGACACTGGTATCAACTTAAAAATCCACAAGTGCAAGTCTTTAAATTTGATTGAGATAATATATTAAGTGGCTTCTGAGAAACCTGGCAACTTGGACTAAATATATCATTTAGCAGCCCACAGCCTGCAATGTGAAAGCTACTGCAGTTAGTTAGAAATCTGCACAAACATTTAACATCCCGTCTCTTCATAATCTTCAGTGCATTTGGGTTTTTCACCCTTGCTCACAAATGCTTTTCCCTCTCTCAGGGAGTGCAGAGAGATAATGGGAACACCAGCTAATTAAATGCAGAGCCTATTAACTTTGCACGAGGGAGGCCATTTCAAAATGATTCCCCAAAGGTTTTTACCAGAAGGACTTTTAGATCACAGCAAGTAGAAATTATAAAACAGGCAATTTTAAAGTACTCCTCTATGCACACTATAGTGCTAATCTGAATGTGGGGGAAAAAAAGAGAAAACGCTAGTCTAATTCCTGTATCTTGTTCTTTAAAATTTATAACAGTACACCTGTAAGGAATGAAAAAGAATAGGCATGATACTGAGATGTGATCCGTCTGAAACTGGAGATGCTTTGAACTCATACACTGCAGGATTTAGATTCCACAACTCTTTTTCATTATGAGAAGCCATCAGACACTGGGCAGATACCGACCCTGCGGCGAGACTCCTCTATGGCTGACAGAAGGGCGTTGTCCCTCTCATTCTTCAAGAAGCCCTGTGGATGAGGCAGAGACAAAGGGACACACAAGGAGACAAGGAGGGAACAGTATGCAGTGACAAACACAGACAGAGAAAAGATAAGAGAAAGAAAATATTAGTTGGACTAGTGAGGACAAAATGAAGCAGTGATAAACTGTTTGCAGCGAGTTCTAGAAGGACAGATTTAGCAGGTACACCATCATTTGCTTTACAGGACAAAAAAGCAGCTTCTCAATTCTCTGTCCTATTTTCTCAGCCTTTCTCAGACACGTGCAGTCCCACGCACTGTCGAGATCAGTCAAACATACGGTCGCCACTTTATACAGATGTATAGTGAGGCCAGAGTGTCCATGCTTCTCACACACCATTTCTGCAGTGAGACAGCAGTCATCATTGCCACCATTTTGTTGTCGACTCAAGATGGCTGCCGCTGCACTCATATGTCCCTCTGTTCTGGTCTTTTCTATGAAGATGATCATTATCCATATCTTAGTCAGATAAAAATAAACTGCTACTTATCTTAAACACAAGATCTCAGCTATCAATTAAGAAAGTGCTACCTATGTAACACCTGGAGTATGTCGGAGAGAACACATCTCTGTTCTCTACTAGCAAATGCGAGTGGGTCACTGGCTCTGTTACACTACACTTTCCTAGGCAAAACATTATGATGTATTTTATTGCATTAAAATATACTGCATATTAGCTGCATATGAGTTCAAGCCACATTGTCTCTCTTCTAATATTCAAAAATATAATACCCAAAATATTATCAAACCAATGATACAGAAATCCTTTTGATTAGGCTATATCTTCATTAATAAGAACTTTACAGGAAAATCAAAAAATGCACAAAGGTCTGTCTCATGTGCAGTTTCTGTCTGACTGGAAGAAAAACTGCATTAAATGTCAATATGAATGAGTAGGGGTGGCTACAGAAACTACAGAAGCAGAAAAATTATTTCTTTCAAAGAAGACAATTAATGGGTAAAACAAAGGTGAAAACTAGTTTTTCTTTATTTATTGCAAGTCTTCTTAGTCCCCAAGAAGACTTGCTTTTGCTTGGTTTACGACATTCAAACTTTAAAGTGCCCGTGGCATTCTCATTTCCGGCCATTTAATGTTTAATCTTGGGTACCTCTTTAGCTTTACACCATCATAACTCCAAACCATCTGTAGTTATTTCAGAATGATAAAACCAGAGAGCCTCTTTCTAAAAATGAGGATAGTACATGAATGTATCCATACACTGCATTCTTGAACATGTATATATGTATACCCATGGACAGACCAGGAGAAAACAGGTCCCTGGGCACAGACATGTAGCCCCCACCTCACCTACAATGAAGCCCCAAACTGAAAGAGAGGAAAAATGACTACAAACAGCATGTCACTTGCCATTTTTTCTGTATTTGCAGACTTGCCATCACTTGCCATTTTTTCTGTATTTGCAGTCATTCATGGGTCTCTCTGCAACGTAATCTCTGTCTCTGTCCCGTTTTGTGTGTAATAATTTTGTGACACTTTGTGGTTATTCTGCAAATACTTTTAGTTGAGGCTCTTTGTAATTGTGGTAATTTTTGCTTTTTTGTAGTATATTTGTGCCTCTTTGGAGTTGTTTTGATTCTTTGTGGTCATTTTGCATCTCTTTAAATCACTCTGCATCTATTTGTTGGCGTTTTGTGTGTCTGTGGTTGTTTTGTGTCTTTTTCAAGCCATTTGAACAGCTTGCCATCAAAAAATATTAACAGTGACTTCAAACAGAGGCACAGGCTAGGGGCTACCCCAAACCATCAGGCCCCTGTGTCTGTGCCCAGTAGGCACATTCAGTAAATCGTCCATGTGTACACCTTCTGCTCCTGACATAAAAGCCTCTTAAGTTGGTGGAATGTTCCTCCCACTGTCTTATAATAGCATATTAATTTAATGATGACATTTCTGGCACCATCTGCCTTTCCGTTTAAAGCATACAGGATCGTTTTAGCACCTGTGAGAACAATTTGAGATTACTCTGCTCTAGTGATGTGCATGTTCTTGGCTTCCATCCTTTCTCATCACCTCTCTCGTGTCTCTATTCCCCCACCTGCTCATTGCTCTACCTACTTGTCTCCTATCCACCCCTTCCTTCCGCTCCAAACTCAGCCTTCACCGCTATCACTACATTCCTCACCTCCACCTTCACTCTCATCCCTGTGTTCTGACAAAGGAGAGTAAATTGGAAGAGCAAATCATTTCTAGTGCCAATACCAAAGTACAATAGTGTGACTGATAGCTATTGAAGTGCTAAAAAAGTGCAAAGACAATGTGTGATCTGGCTGGGCCAGTTAACCTGGCCTTCGTGTGTTATCAATTAAGGGATGTTCTTAAACTGGATCATAAACTGAAAGTGATGAAATAATCAAAAGCTTATCTAAAAACCCAGGCACCTTCCATGAGGAAAACATCTCAACATTGTCTGGTCTAAGGGAAGTGATGGGTTTAGTCAAACCCACCTTGCTGCTGGACTAATGACCCGGGCTGAACAGAATGTTAATCATAATGTGCAGCATATAAAGTAGGTTTGCAGTGTTGTATTTTACTTTGCTCAAGTCTTCACATGAAGACAGACTAACTAGCTACACCTTGTCAAACTGTCTTTTTAATACCATTCTTATAAATGTGGAACTGTGGCTCATACAGACCCAACCAGGTATTTTTCTATCTCAAGACTGAGTTCAACCTTGTCTATACATCTACAAAGCCACAGAAGAAGAGAAGCTATCACCTGACAAGCACTAGTAGCTACGACGTGGCACACAAAACAAGAAGTCCAAACAAGTCTTGACATTCAACTCTGGAAAACAGGATGTCAGTGTATTCTGTTGCACGTTTGTAAGCTTACATGAAAAATAAACTGGTGGCTCTTTTTTATGCAATGCACTTGTGTGAATTTCCCACCAGATGCAACTGCAGTTTATATTATGTCATGCATTCTTCTCTTATTAAGGACCTTCAACGAAAGAAAAACATGCTAGGATGAATGGTTTTAGTCATAGTGGACAGAAGATTGTCAGATCTAAGTGGGTCAGTAACATGCCTTAAAACTTAAGAAATAAGCCATTCTGGTCACAAACTCACTCGTTAAAGTTTGCTCCCCCTCACCAGGAGGGTGAGGGAGAACTGTAGTAGGACTCAAGAGTGCCGACCCAGGTGCTAGTACAAAAGGTGGTTTAATAGGGAAGAACCAGGAGAGTAGGAGGATCAGCACGGACAGGTGAATAGTTAAACCAATCAGGAGCACTGGCGAACGAAAAGGAAATCCACAGCACAGGAACTGTCAGCATGGATACCAAAATAACATCTGGCTAACCTCATGGAAGAACAAAAAAAACATACAAAGAGATCCACAGCACAGGAACTGTCAGCGTGGATACCAAAATAACATCTGGCTAACCTCATGGAAGAAAAAAAAAACATACAAAGAGATCCACAGCACAGGAACTGTCAGCGTGGAAAACAAAATGATGTACGACACACACCACGAGCACAGGTCTGTTACGGGGTATGCAAGCTAATGCTCCGGCAATGACGGAGCATCTGCCAGAGGTTTAAATAAGGAGGAAGGTCATCATCGGGATGCACCCCAGCTGTGCGCACTGACAAACAAGTCCCGCAGGTCGAGAGAGCAGAGGAGAGAAAGGCGGAAGAGAGGCAGGTCGCGCTGAGCGGACCTGACACTCGCAAAGAAAACCAATTAGACTAGTGTCTTTACAAAGTTACATAAAAACCAAAGCAATGTCTGAGCCAATTTAAAAGGACAAAGAGTCAGTCAAGTATATGTTTTTACGCAGTGGGACAATACTACCAGTGTTGTTGTACAGAAACTTTTCAGACCCTTATTTTGTTGTTTAAGACATCTTAAAATTCAATTCATTTTTTTTGTCATCATTCCAGACACAATGCCCCACAATGATAAAGTGAAAAATGTTTGAGTGTTTTAAAAATTCATTAAAAATATTCCATTTACATAAATATTCAGACCCTTTACTTAGTACTTGGTTAAAGCTCCTTTGGCAGCAATGACAGCCTCACGTCTTAAGAATAAAGACACAAGCTTGGCAACATTTCTTTTGGCATTTTCTTCCATTCTTCCTGCCAGAATTGTTTAAGGTCACCCAGGTTAGATGGGGTTGTTGGTGCAATGTTATTTCCAGGTCTTTCCAGAGATGTTCTATTGGGTTCAGGTCCAGACTGGGCCACTCCAGGACTTGCACAGAGTTTATCTGAAGCTCCTCCTGTGTTTTCTTGGTCATATGTTTTGGGTTATTGTCTTTTGAAATGTAAACCTTCACCCCAGCCCGAGATCCTGAGCACTCTGAAGAAGGTTTTCATTCAGAATCGCTATATTTTTCCATCTTCACCTCTGTCCTGACTAGTCTCCCAGTTGAAGAAAAACACCCCCACAGCATAATGCTGCCACCACCGTGTTTGACTGTAGGGATGGTATTAGTGAGGTGATGCTCGGTGCCTGGTTTTCTCCACATACACTACTGGGAATTGTGGCCAAATAGTTCAGTCTTTGTTTCATCAAACTAGAGGATTTTGCTTCTCATGGGCTGAGAGTCCTTCTCTTCAATTTGAGAATGATGGAGGCTACCGTGCTCTTGGGCACTTTCAGAGCTGCAGAAATTTTCTTGTATCATTTCTCAGATCTGCGTCTTGACACAATCCTGTCTCACAGGTCTGTGGACAGTTCTCTTGATCTTTTTCACTCTGACACACACCATCAACTATGAGACCTTATATAGACGGGTGCGTGCCTTTCCTAATTATATCCAGTGCATTAAATTAGGCACAGGTGGACTCTAATCAAGCTGTAGAAGCATCTCAATGGCCACTGGGAGGAGCAGGATGTACCAGAGATCGATTAGAATTTCCCCATTGTAGGATCAATAAAGTCTGACCTTACCTTACCTAGAAGTGTCATAAAGGGTCTGAATGCTTATGTTAATGGAATATGTCAGTCTTTTATTTTTA